GCACAAATGTTTGGGAAAGAATACTGCCCACACGGACACGGAATTTCCGATTGGACAAGTAACTCTCGATTATGGAAAGCATTCTGCCGCGCACACCCAGGTGAGACAAGTCTCTTAATATGCCGAAACGCCATGTTGTGTCGTAGGCCTTCTTGATATCAAGAAACACAGAGAGGAAGTATTGTTTGTGGGCGAAAGCGTCTCGGATCTGTGCCTCGATACGCACCAGATGGTCGGTGGTGGATCTACCCTCTCGAAACCCGCATTGGTATGGGTCGAGCAATTTGTTTGTTTCTAAGTAGTGGAGTAAGCGGCAATTAATCATTTTTTCAAATAGCTTGCAGAGGCAGCTTGTTAATGCTATAGGTCTGTAACTTGATACAGTAGAGGGATCTTTTCCCTGCTTCGAAATTGGAATTATAACAGCCTCCTTCCAGGAGGAGGGGATCACACCCGGAAACCATGTGCGATTATAAAGAGAGAGGAGGGTTTCTTTAGTTTCGGAGGGTAGTTCCTTCAGCATCGCGTACATTACGTTGTCAGAACCTGGGGTAGATGTATTACAGCAGCTGAGTGCTGTTCGCAGTTCTGCTAAGCAGAATGGTGCATTATATGCCTCATTTCTTGCGGATTTTCTTTCTAACTTTTGTTTTTCTATTCGTGCCTTGTAATTCTGGAAGGACTCGGAGTAGTGTGAGGAGCTCGATATGTGTTCGAAATGTGTGCCAAGAAAGTTGGCTTGCTCCTCCAAGCTTTCCCCGAGGCTATTAACTAGTGGAAGAGAATACGTTTGTTGGCCCTTGATTTTCTTTATCTTATTCCACACTTTTCCCTCGTCTGTGTACGAGTTGATACTCGATATGAACTTTGTCCAGCTCTCTCGTCTAGCTTGTCGGCGCGTTCTCCTTGCCTGCGATTTGACCCGCTTGAAATTTTCCAGGTTTTCTGCTGTAGGGGAATCGCGAAGCAATGCCCATGCTTTGTTCTGAGTTGTCCGTGCTTTCCTGCATGCGTCGTTCCACCATGGGACCCGCCGTTTAGAACACATGCCACTCGTTTTGGCAATACATCTAGATGCGGCATCAAGTATAAAAGCTGTAAAATACGTGACAGCGTCATCTATAGTCAGGGCAGACAGCTCAGTCCATGTCATGTGTGTAAGAGTTCTATACCCTTCCCAATCAGCTGAGTCAATCTTCCATCGAGGAACCTGCGGGGGTAGTTGATCTTTGTTCGGCGCACTCAGGATGATTAGGAAGTGATCACTCCCATAAGGGTTTTTAAGAACGTTCCACTTAAAAACAGCTAAAAGGGACGGTGATGAAATGCTAAGATCTATGGAGGAGTATGTGTTGTTTGCAAGGCTAAAATACGTAGGCTCCTTCATATTTAAAAGACATAAACTAGAAGAGAAAAGGAGCTGCTCAATGAGACGTCCTCGCGCATCACAGTGAGCATCGCCCCACAGGACATTGTGTGCATTAAAATCACCTAGAACCAGAAATGGCTCTGGGAGTTCATATATTAATGATTCCAGATCATGTCTGTGTAGCTGTTGATGTGGTGGTATGTACACAGAACATATGGTAATGAGTTTGTTAAAAAGTACAGCTGGAATGGCCACTGCCTCCAGGGCCGTTTGGAGCTTCAAATGCTGGCATGCTATACTACGATCGACTATAATGGCTACACCGCCAGATGGTACGACAGGATCCTCCCGGTCTTTTCGGAAAATAATATATTGTCGTAGGAAGTCCTTGTGCTTAGGAGTTAAGTGCGTTTCTTGCACACATAGCACTTTCGCATTAAACTTACACAGAAGTTCTTGGACGTCATCTAAATTTCTAAGTATTCCCCTTACGTTCCACTGTATGATTTTGTCCATAGTGGAGAAAAAAAAAGGGGGGAAAAAGTGCTGTGTGCAAAGAAGACGGGAATTAACTCATTTTACAGGGCCTTTGTCAGGCCCTGTAATCGGCGTTCTGTCCTTTTTGGGGCGGTCGAGCGAAGCTCGCCGCTCCTTCGGCGCTTTCTGCGCTGTTTGGCTTGAACTGGTGTCCATAGCCTCTTGCGAGGCACTGACACCCGCTCTAAAGAGCGATCTGTGCGCCGCTTAGACTTCGCCTCGATCGACGAAGTCTTTGTCACCACTGAGCTGGGGGTCGATGGAGCCCCCTTGGCCTCGTGATTGCCCTGGCTGCCGCCAAAGCTTGTCGAGGTCGCTGGTGTGGACAGGCTGAATTTGGGCAGGGCAGCGGTAGCTGCTCCCGCCGTAGGGGCTTGTGGCATTGGCCTCGGCACGCTAGGCGAGGTCCGGGCAAATGCCAAGGGCCTCTGTGGTACCCCCCCTCGTTGCACCACTTCGGCGAAAGGTGTTTTCAGTGCCAATGTTAGTGAGACTCGTTGTCTTGCTTCCCTGAATGTGATATTTTCCTTTACTTTTATAGTTATTATTTCTTTTTCTTTTTTCCAGGCTGGGCACGCTCTGGAGTATGCGGGGTGACTACCTTCGCAGTTAGCACAGAGGACCTCATCATGACTACATTCATCAGCACTGTGGCCGGTTGTGCCACACTTAGCACAGATCAGCTGCCCTCGGCAGCTCTGGGATGCATGACCAAATCGCTGGCATTTGAAACAACGCCTCGGGTTAGGAATGAAGGGTCGGACATGGAGTTTTATATAGCCAGTTTCGAGTGTCTCAGGTAAAGTGGTTGAGTTGAAGGTGAGTATTAAGTGCTTTGTTGCTATTTCGTTGTTGTTGCGTCTGATTATGATGCGCTGGACATGTATTACACCTTGGTCCTTCCATCCATCAAGAAGCTCTTCTTCACTCAGTGTCATCAAATCTTCGTCCGATACCACGCCCCTCACTGTATTCATTGTACGGTGTGCACTCACAGAGACGGGGATGTTACCAAAGGCTACGAGGTGCGAGAGTTTATTGTACTGTTCCTTGTCTTTTAATTCGAGAAGCAGATCTCCACTTGCCATCTTCGTGGCCTTATAACCGGTTCCAATAGTCTCTCTCAAGCACTTGGCCACAAGAAAGGGTGAGATTGCTCTAGCTTTTGTAGATGATTGTTCGCAGTGGAGGACATGGTATTTTGGGAAAGTTTCTCTGTTTTTCGACCAAAGTAGTAAAGTTGCGTCGGTGCGTACCCTTTTCGAGGCACGATCATTTAGAGAGGGGGTCGAGGATCCCATGGGAAAATCTGTATTTTTCGGTAACGGCGCCTACCACCCACCACGGAGTCCAACAAGGGGACGTGGCAGAGCATGTGGGCATGTCTGCGCAACGCCAGCAGTACGCAGTTACTATAACCCAATATGGTTTACCCTAGTTTGGATAGCCACACAAGGTTAACCCTTGCCGCCAGGAAAAATTGGAAGTAAAATGAAGTGAGGAGAAGACAGGAAAGATGTAAAGTGAGAACAAAAGACGAAGTTATAGGGAGAGAGAGAGATAGGAAAAGGCGACTGCCGATTTCCCCAGGGTGGGTCAGCCCAGAGGTGCCGTCTACGTGAAGCCGGGGCCAAAGGGGTGTGTTGCCTCTTCCGGGGGGCCTTAAAGGTCCTATCACCCAGCGTCAGCTCAACCCCCAGGATCCCCTTTTCCCCGGACACGGCAAAGCCACGCACGGCTAGGCGTGGGAGGGAGTCAAAACTCCCCCGTTAGCTCTGGTCCGTGGTGTCGCTACACACCAAACGCCTACTTGCGCAGGCGCCCCTGCGGGCTGGCACAGCTGTTGTGCCCCTGAGACAGTGCCAAAGGGGATCATTTACACATGTGCATGGAAGGATGTGATGGAGCATGGTTCGCTTGTGATGTAACATTCGCGATTCAGCTCGTCACTAAACATCACATTTTGCCACTGATTGTCACGGAGAGCAGCTGGCCAGGCAGCCTGCGTGAGTGGTTTGCAAGAGGTTAATTCATATACTGTTAGTACACTGCACATTGTGGTATTCAAGTCTAACACTAATAGTGCACTAGAAGTTGCTCCACGTAAATATTAAAAACAAATCTCAAAGGCTATGCTTGCATTGTGTATACGCCAGAACCAATTACAGCAGATAAAGGTGCTTTGTAACCGCTAATTAGCAGTCATCATAAGAGAACTTAACCATTCCTGAAGTTCCTTTCAACAGCAAGAAGATTCTCTTTTTCCTTTTGGCTCAAAATGACGAGCGAAAATTCCCAGAAAAAAGGAAAATTCCCGACATGAAACATCACTGCAGGGTACGACTATGCGGCTCAAACATACGCTAGGCTTCTGCGCCAGCCGTGCATAGGATGAACCCTTCAAAACAAAAGAAATAAAATGAAGCAGTATAGCACAGAAATAAAGCTGTAGACCCCTGGTGGTGTGGCCTTCTCAGCTTGCAGCCTGGATGGTGATCACTCCATCTATCCATTTGTACATTTTGTGGCCATACAACCCTACATTCAAAATGCCAGTGCAAAACTGAGGATCACAAGAGGTCCCTTTTATGTGTCACATCTGTGGTCACCCCTTTGTTAGCAGTAAAGACTCATCGATTCTGTGCGCTACACTTCCTTGACTCTCAGAAAAAGTAAACAAGTCAGGAGTACTTGTATAGAAAGTTGTGCAGCTTGCCGACGTGCTCCGACATTGTTCGGCTGCGCCACAATCTCCACTCAGGTGGTATATTTTCCCGTGACCCCCTAATGAAATACACTGCCTGGTGAAGTTTTGCTGCTCCTACTTGGTTGGCTGTCTGAGCACTGGACACAAATAGAAATGGCTCCACTGAATTTCCAGGAGATTATCCCGCAACCCATAAAACCAGAAAAATTATGTCAAAATCCTGAAGTCTACTGGGTAATCCTGGAGATTTGACAGCTATAGCCACCTCGACAAGATAGGGTAATCCTAAAGATTTGACAGCTATAGCCACCTTGACAAGATATCTGCTGCATTTCACAAGTCATGTGATGCTTATTCTCAGTGTCACAGAGTGCTACAGCACAGTACCTTGAAGTCGTCCATGATGGAGAGCTTCTTAGCAATGTTCTTGAACTGCTCTTTGGTGGTGTATGTGATGCGCAGTGGCCCTTTGGTTTCCAAGCTTCCCTTGAGAAGCTGGCTCACTGTGACCAGTGGAGAGCCGTACACCTCCTTGACAAAGGCTACATCATAGTTATCCTGGGTACGTGGGTGGGGGGTGGGGGGGGGCATACTTTTAGCTTATGCACCAAGACACTTGCATTCCAAAACATGAGAAGACAAAGTTAGCCAAGTTGGCCAATACTTAATAAAGATCACGCTAAGGAGGAAATTCAAATAGGAATTTTTTTCTCCATAACATACTATATAGTATATGCAACCATTACCTTTCCTCTGAAAGAGGAACTTGGGAATTCTTAGATTTTTAAAAAGTGATATTTTTCTGAAGCATGCACACTTAAAAGAGCAGTGACATCAACTTGACGCATGTCATGCTTTTTGCATGAAAGCATACTATCAGCCATCCAGTAACGATTCGGTATGAGTAATGCAACAGAGGAACAAGGTAATACATGTAATATCAATCAGTATGCCCAATATCAAACTCGATTCAAAACAGGTGCAAAGCCTGCCAATTTTCAGCCTTGCTAAGCAGTCACTTCCCGCGGTGTCGCCTCATCTGATCATCTGGCCACACTAAATGATGACGCAAATTTCAGTTGACATTTCGTCTGCTTGGCGCACACATGTATAGGCGTGTCTTCCCCACCCCCATTGTCGATGCCACAATCATCAGCGTCCACAAGCAACGATGAAAACACCGAGAAGCATGGAATCGCAGCGATTCGCAGCATGGTGAATCATTTGTGGTTCAATCCTCTTATGAGCAGCTCTGAAATCAACGCCGAACTGAGCAGCGATGAGGCAGCTGGAGACGCACGCACGCTTGGGCCACGCTGGCTGGTAAGACATTGGAAAGCTGCATGCGTGTTATTTGTTCCCAATGGTCTTCACTTCAAATAAGCACATTCTTGCTCAGAACTTCACGACAAATCACCCGAAGCGGCACAACAAAAATGCAGAGCTCCCACAAACGCATTGCACTAACCAAGCAAAACAGAGCAAGTGAAGCTGCTGCCAGGCTCAACACCATTGCTGCTCATTCGCGGTCTCTCAGCGTGTGAGGCGTGGCCCGGAAACTTCAAAATACAGTCGATGTCTCATGGCTGTAAACGTGCCGTTTAGCCTGAAAAACGGTACCTCAAAATGACCAAAAATGCATGAAACGTACAGGGCCTACCCAGAGCCCATAAGAGTTTCCGGAGCAAAAAAAAAAGAAATACTAATTTGGAGACCCTATTGTTTTCAGAGCAGATGGAGAATTGTTCCTTATGAACCCTGAAGTCTAAGGCATCATTTAAACATGTTGCAAGACAGCGGCGATATCAGGGTCTCGACCCCATTTATTCAACAGAGCCGCCCGACAAATTCTTTGACAAAGAAGATGCTTACAGGGATCATGATTAGGTGAAGAAAATGAAGAAGAAACAGTGAATACTGTGTTCACACTAATTTCCTCCTCGTACGAAAGCGGTCAACTTGGTTGGTGTTTAAAGCGGTGTAGGTCTTATGAAGGGTTTTAACCGAGGAACGTGCACAACCTCCATGCCACGTCAACGGTTTTCGAAAGGCATGACAGCGGGGGTTACACCATTGTTCACTAGAGAAGTTGGCTTGACAATAGCGTAGGGTCCAATAAAACGGGACTGAAACTTCTCAAACAGGACTCACATTGGGGTCCACAGCAGCACAAACTCAATGATGCGGTGAAATTAACCCTAGAGAGTCTTCCGGTTCTGCCGACTTGCCTAGGTATTTAGGCAAGCACGGTGGCGACAAGTGGCAAGTTGAGAGAGTACTACTCTAACGCGTCGATAAATTGACGGGGACGTCGAAAGAGACTACGAGGGGAGATGTCGATTGACGGCTGTAGACAAGGAAGAAGGCCTGCCCATGATGCGTTGCGTAGCAGTATTGTACCCAAAAGTCACGAATGGAAGGATCGTATCTCAGTTGGTATGGCCGGCATTGATGTACATGGATATCATATCAGAAAAAGTTTGATGAGAGCACTCAGTGATACTATTAGTTTGGGGATGGTAGCTGGAGATCGTCTTATGGATAATGTCACATGCGTGAAAAATGTCGTCCATTAGTTTCCACAGAAACACCTTGCTGCGGTCACTCAAAAAGATGCACAGCGCACCTGTCCAGAAAGATGGCTTTCAAGCAGAAAGTGGCAATGTCCTCCGCTAATCCTACAGGCAGTGCACCTGTTTCGGCATACCTCATCAAGTGACCGACCACAGTGATAATCCATCGCTTTCCGCTTGCTGATATTGGCAGTGGCTTGTAGAGGTCTATAGCAATAACTTGAAATGAAGCCTAAGAACATGGAAGAGGTTGCAGCGGTCTAGCTGGAGATGGTGTGGGTTGATGCGGCACTGGCAAAGCGAGCATGAAGCAACTTATTGGGCCACGCAAGTTGAAAGCCCGGGCCAGGCAATGCGACTGCGAATGCGGTCATATGTCTAGTGAAAGCCGAGATTACCAGCCATGGGGTCGCGTGAAATGCTTCCAATATGCGTGTCTTGAGTGAAAAACGAGCGACGGGAACCAAGCGTGGTCCTTCGGGATGGAAGACATAGCGATTGATATGTGGGGTTTAATGTTCCAAAACCACCATAATATTATGAGAGATGCCGTGGTGGAGGGCTCCGGAAATTTCGACCACCTGGGGTTCTTTAACGTGCACTCAAATCTGAGAACACGGGCCTGCAACATTTCCGCCTCCATCGGAAATGCAGCCGCCACAGCCGGGATTCGATCCCGCGACCTGCGGGTCAGCAGCCGAGTACCTTAGTCACTAGACCACCGTGACGAGGCTGGAAGACAAAGCGGTAGAGGATGAAGTTCTTAACGTCGAACTTCTGCTACTAGCAACGGGTGTAGGCATTAAGAGGTCAAGATAAGCCGTGAAGGCATTGCATAATTGCATTGAACTCTCATTCACTGCATCGCATTCATCGCAATCGCATTCATTGCATTGCACTCAATACGCTGTCATGTTGCCAGAACTAATCAGCTAATCGCAAAGGCTGCGATCGGGCAAATCGCGAAGGCTGCGGGCCCGCGGTGCGGCGCAAGATGGCAAAGTGCATGAAGAGTCGAACTCTGAAGATCCGCCGCTGTCACAGTGGTCTTTGAGAGTTGCCATCAGTGCCTAATGTGACATCATCTTGATAGTAACAACACAGTTGCCCGCATTACAGAGGGGAAAAAAGCAAAGCTGAACGTCATTGGGGGCCGCTCCGTGTGCACCCAGTGAAACCATGCACGCAAAAGACGTCAAAAACGAAGTGCGAGCGAAATGCTAAAAACTATTCGGTAAAGCACTCCAGATACGTGCCCGCAGCACCAAAGACGACGGCAACGCCGGCTCGAGGTGTGCAGGCCTGTCTTGCGCACACTTATACGCGATTACGAGCGCTCGCTCTCGCTGGGTGGGTGGCTGGGCGGGGCAACCGCAGAATATACATGCTTGGGCCAAAACGACACAATCTGAGACAAAATTTTTGGATTGTACGTGGCAAAAATTTGTTATATCAAGGATGTCTCCCGCTGTTACTTTGTTATATAGAGGTCATGAATGCACATTCTTCTAAGCAGTAACGGCGGGGAATAAAAAAAGTTTGTAATATCGATGACTTCAATATATAGAGGTTTGCTGCAGGCAGGTTTAACTGTACAGTCAACTCTCGTTAATTCATGCTCAGAGGGACCTCTGAATTTTATTTAAATTATCAAGAAGTTTGAATTATGAAAAGTTCTCAGCCAACTCTGGGTTAGGTGACACCACACAGCAACATAACGTCCACAAGTTTATTGCCCGTTTACTGCTGATGAGACCTTTTAAATCGTGAATATCCAACTGCTTTATTGCTATAGGTATGTGCCTTCGGAACAAAGCTCTCTATACCAGGTGAGAATAATCGCGGTGTACCATGCATGTGCTTAATCTCAAACATTTGTTTGCTTGCAAAGCCTTTTTCATTGAAGGTCTCAAGTGCTTATTTTTTATTTTTAGACTGTTAGGATTACCGTAATTACTCGAATCTAACGCGCACCTTTTTTCCGGTTAAGCGAGTTCATAAATCGCATGCGCGTTAGAATCGAGTACGAACAAAAAATTTACGGCCAATCTATTGCCATCGGCAAATCTAAAATGGCCGCCCCCTACGTGCGTCGGCATGGCGCGTCGTCCATTTCTGCCTATGTGTTTCTCATGTGCGGCACTTCGCACATGTGCTGAGGAGTTCGTCATCTAGTAGTGCATTAGCATCGACGGCGTGGAATGGCCGACTCCAAAAACTCGAGTGCACCACGATGCCGCTTTTAAAAGAAAAGTCATCGCGTGTGCAGAAACGGACGGAAATCGGGCCGCATCGCGGTCGTTCGGAGTTCCCGAAACGTGCGTGCGGGACCGGCGGAAACAAAAGCAGAAGATTTTCGACAGCAAAGCTTTACGCAAAGGCTTCAGTGGACCACAGCAGGGTCGGTTTCCGCAAATTAAAGAGCTGCTCGGCGAGTATGTGCTTTAGCAGCGAGCAGCACAGCGGCCCGTGACGGCAGAACTGCTCCAAGTGCGGGCTATGCAATTAGTCTTAGAAAAATGTCTAATGCGGAGCCAGTTTTAAGCGAGCAGGTGCTCGCTAACTAACTTTATGAAGAGGAAAGGCTTTTCCCTCCGAAGGGGAACATGCATATGCGAAAAGTTTTGCGGAGGAGTACGATGAAAAGCTTCACAGTTTTCAGAGGTTCGTCCTAAACTTGCGGCGCAACAACGACTACCTGCTTGGGCAAATCGGGAATGCCGATCAGATGCCTCTTTACTTCGACAAGCCTGGCACCACAACCGTCGAGAAGAAGGGGGCGAAGCAAGTTCGCGTGCTGACATCGGTCCATGGTAAAACTACAGTGACGGCAATACTCTGTTACACGTCAGATGGGCATAAGCTTCGCCCGTACCTCATATTTAAATGGAAGGCGCTCCCGAAAGGAGTCGTTTATCGAGTGGTGTGATCATGCGGGCCAGCGAGAAAAAATGGGTGCGCGTTGCAATCGATGTCTTACTTTTTTTTTTTTTTTTCGCGGTGGAAATCGGGTGCGCGTTACAATCGAGGGCGCGGTAGAATCGAGTAAATACGGTATATAAGCACACAAATTATGTATCAATTAACCGAATGATGGACTTTGAATTAAGAGGCTTTTAAATACATTGACAGAATAGAGGGCCAACCAAAAAATTGAAATTTATTTGAATTAACCAAAAGTATGAATTATCAGAGTTTGAATTACTGCGAGTCTACTGTATAAAGAGCTTCTGTTGTTTCAGTTTCCCAATACAATTTTGGAGCAGGTTCGAAGTGGTTACTAACAAACATGACACTCTGGAGCAGCACAAACAAACATGACACTTTGGAGCAGCACACTTCCATCACTGCATATGCAAGATCATCTGCAACTTACCTTTTTCAAGTAGTTGAGATCTCTGCTAGTAAAAGGCACAAACTTTTTGTTGAGTTGAATGAACTTAAGGTGCTTTTCATAAAAGAGCCCGCTGAAAAATAAAACGAAAAAAAAAACCACTAAGACTTGTTACACAACTCTTGAAGCAGATCCAGTTTCTATGCTTGTAACTTCGTAACAGAGTAAGCGCAGCAGAAACATGTTTAATATACTAGAATCATTTAACACTTGTACGTCCGAAACTTGAGTACGCATCCCCGATACGGTCCCCACATGAAGCATATCTCATCAATGCACTCGAAGCAGTCCAAAATCGTGCGGCATGATTCATTCATTCATCGTACTCATATCACACAAGCGTATCACTACTGAAGGCGCGATCCGGCTTAGATTCATTGTCATCCCGGCACCGCATTGATTCACTAATCTTTTTTTACAAGTTCTATTACAGCTCGCTTCATCAGACACCATACATCTTGGCCCCACCCCCATGCCTCTCCCTTCGCAATGGGCATCACTTACAAGTAACCCGTCCACGCAGCCGCACTACTACCTTCTCGGCCTTTTTTTCTGCCGTTCTATCGCTGATATCACCTGCCCATCATCATTTGCTGAGAAGCTTAGGCACTAATTTTCTCTTATGTTTATATGTGGCTACTAATTATATGCATATCCGGTTGATGTGCATAATTACAAATGTATATATATATTTTTACGCATAATTTTTTTGTATGTATAATTGTGTATTATCATTATGTACATATGTCGCCCGATTATAACCCCACCCCTTATGTAATACCCCCCCTTGAGGGGGCCCTTAAGGAAATAAAAAGTGAAGTGAAGTGAAGCCAGCCTCACATAAGGAAACTGCAGGAATTGAGTCAGCAAACCATGCAAGTGGAAATCTGCTCGATCAGCAAATAATAACATTGACATTTGCAAATATAGTAGAATATCTCAATGATACAAATTCGAAGAGAGCACGCAAAATAATCGTATCATTCCGAATTCCTATGAAGCAAAAACTAGTTAAAGCTGATCATGAACATGAACAAGAACTTTATTGGGGTCAACTACCACTTGCTCAAAAAGAGCATGATGTTCTTTTCAACTTTCCTGCTTTCACCACCTCTCAATAGAGGGCCGGGGCCCTCACTTATGCTGCTGGTACATTCACACTTGGCATCAAAGGGAGGGAAAAGTGGCAAAACTTATTGAAGATTCATCCACTTTGCTGCTTAAGGGGAGACGCTCCTCGAAAAAGTTTTTTTTTTTTATTTCTAGTAATAGAGACTTGAAAAGTTTGTTATTAGTATAGTTTTTCATGCAGATTTCAAATATGCAATCATTTTTTGTGTAGCTGCTATAATTATTGAGTTATGCCATAAACAATAGCAAAAAGTTACATTTTTTGCGGGCACTCTTCTATGTACTAAACTTTCAGTAAAAGCACTGTGTCTGATCTTATTTGACTCTTGGTAGATTGAAAAGTGCAAATATCTATATAGATATGTCACAGAAATATTGGAACCAAGAAAAAAAAAATTGTATTGAATGACTTATTATTTTCAATATCCCTTGAAACAATAAGCTAATATTTTCACAACTAATGCTGGTAGGCATTGCAATTTAGAGTAGATATTTGCATTCTGATGTGTTGAAGAATATGTGTGCCAAGTTTTGTTACTATACAATGAATATAAGTTTCTAAAAGGCTGCCCGGAAAACGTGAAACTGTCAGAAAAAATGAAAATGAGAAAAACAAGTTTGAAAGTTCGCAAAGTTGGCATTTATTAGGAAATCATTCTTTTTGCATCAAATTGGGGCACAATGAAAAGTACCTTGCCTTGAATGCACTGCAAGTGTCTAGAAGTCCCCTGCACCATAGCTTGGTCCTTCACGGCTCTTGCGGTCAGTGTCCTCAACACGAGCTCTCTTCGCTGTGTTGCGACGGTGTGCCCTCGCTTCTGCAGTTTGCTTCAGGTTCATCTTCCTGATGCGCATGACGTCACAGTGGTCACCATGTGTGGCCAGATCTTGTGAGGGGAGAATTCCAATGCCTTCGAGCACTTCTTCAAAGCCCCTGTGGCCTTTGTTGTATCAGAGTACAGCAAGAGCGGTGGCTGTCTCCAAAGTTGTTCTGGAGGCGAACTTTGTTTTTGGACATAGCAGCTATATCTTGCTGTTCAGCGATTCGGCTGCATTCTGTGTCTTGCCATGAAGGCACCGAATAAGGAGTTTCTCCTCTGTAAGGCGCTTGTAGATAGGCATAATTGCCAATCCTTGAGCCTTCGTCAACAGTGGGGTGTGGCGTGGTGCAGGCTCCCCCAGTGCTTCCGCACGCTTGTGCTTGCACCACGAATTTGGTCCCGCGGGGCAAAAGTTGTGGCTACTGGCACCATCACTGGAGCAGCAATGAAAATACGATGCCCATAAGGCAGTGTACATATTTCGGACACTGTCCTTGTTGCTCGTGATGGCGATCTTGTAATATGTTTGTAGTTTTATTATTGTCGCATCTTTCAGTTTTTCGCCTCGTGGCAGTGGCGTTGCCAATTTCCGTAGGGCAGTTCCCAAGCGCTTTGCAACGTGGTTCGTACACTCTTCTTTGTCAATGGGGGTGTCACAGTATACATTTGCCTCGCAGACTGCAGTGTAGGCCTTGCTGTCACCATCACTTAGGAAGCTGGTGAATCGCAGTGGAGTTTCATAAGACAAGGTCCTCTGCCATATATTGACAGCTGCCGCAGGTTCCATTGCATGGGATGAGCAGTCAGTGTTTTTTTGGCAAACTGGAAGATGAAAAGCTCGCCATATCTCTTCATCCTCCCCAAGGTCCCTGTGTATACTGCAAGCATGGCAGTAGTTCGAAAGAACTTCAAAATCGAGGCAGAGCCCCCTGTCCAGGGACACGACTGTGCCCACTCCATTGTGGCTTTTATGACCTCTTTTCTGCCAGGTGCCATCAAACATGACTGGCACATCTCTGCCGCCGACTGCGTCCTTCGTGATGTTTCGTGCCTGGTGCAAGTTTTTGCTCACTGCCGTCATCGCCGCACCATGGAGCTTCTTGCAAATGCCGTTGAATGTCTTGTGATGCATCGGGCGCGGAAGACCGAGAATCGCACAAAATCGTAAAAGTTGGTCGTGGCCTGCGCCTATAGCGCGTGCTGCCAGAACTGCCTTCACGTTTACAGCAAAGCTGTCACGCGAGCTGCCGCTGTCAAAACGAGCGCTCGTTCTTTGGTCCCCGGCCGAAGCAGTACGTCTCGACGTGTGCATGAATTGAAAGTGCAGATTCAGGGCAATCAGAATTTTGACAGCACAGTTCGAGGAATGCCGAAAGTCCTTTGCGCTTTCCAGCTGGCTCTCGCACGCCGAGCTTCCGTTCGCGGCAGGTTGGGCATTGCGCACCCGCCACAAGTGCCGTCAGCGCATCGATTTCGCAAAGCAGCATGTTCGCAGTAGCAGCATCTACCGGTCTACGTTCACTCTCGAAGAATCCAATCTTCCTTTGGGATGCACTGACGAATTCCACGGCAGCGGCTATTTCACAACCACTGTCGCAGGGTTTGGTGACGGTGTTAGGCCTATCCGAAGTCGGAGCGTCGGGGCGTTGGTCGGGGGCGACATCGTCGTTCGCTGTCGCTTTGCGAAGCGTCCGACGCCGTTTCCCTCGATACTTGTGGCGAGTTCTGAACTTTCGATTATCTGAACTGCACTTCTTCGGGCTTGCCATGACGCAAAAATGCAGAGAAACGCAGAAAAACTCGATCGCGACGTCCGAGGCTTCGCTCTTTTGCCGGAGAGATAGGAGGGGGAGGAGCGTGGAGCGCACCGCCGTCCAATGGCGGCCTCTCGCTGTGTGCCGCGATATTCAAAACGCGTGACGTACGCGTTGTTTTTCTCGTTTTTTGTTTATTCTGCGTGAAGGCACGAGACTGGCTACTAGTGGATTATGAAGGATACGGCCTTCGCAGCATGCGTGCACGATTGCAAATGGCGGCCAACGCGTCGTTTTCGCGACAGGACGACGCGAACTTTGCCGTTTTTCGCGACTTTCGCGCATTTCTCGCGTCACCGCTGCCCACTTGGAAGCATTTATTGATAATTTCTCGTGCGAATTTCAGCTTGATATTTTCAGAAGTAATAGATTATGGTCCAAGGATGCCAATACAGCCGGGAAAAAAAAAAGCGAAAATTTTCCGGAAAACCGCGACTTTTCGACCCGCGTCTCCCCTTAAGCAGCCCAAAAAATGCACCGCGAAGTCGACACGAAAAAGACCAGTTGCACAGGAGAATTCAAGCAAAATTGTCAGAGCGGGCGCGAAACCATGTCTACCCCCACCAAACATTGTTCACATTTAATCTGCCTACCGCCGCCACCTTTGCCACTTGAGAATTCATTCCTGTTTACCCGTTTCCTGAGCGTTAAAATTCGTATTAAGTTCTAGTTATGCATGCAAAGCAACCAAAAGAAACAGTTTACACCTGTTCAAACGTTGTTCCGGGAGATACGCCAGCAGAAATTACACGAGCGGACGCACAGCGCTGGCGATGGATTCAGCAGACAGTACAAAAGCGTGACACGTTAGGGCCTGCCGACTCGCTGGTACTGCACGTTGTTCTACTTCCGGTGTACACAGCGATCATAATTTAAACGAGGCTTTCTAATGCGTACGTCCTTGTCAAGGCCGTGAGCTTTGTCGTGCTGCGCGGGTAGTTTGCACTTGCGCAGACGCGAGCCTGCGCTGACGCCTTCATTGCCCACGTTGCATTTGAGGCTCGTTTACATCACGTGGTTTTAGAGCTAGTGCAGCAGGTGTAGCCCAAGCCGTGAAGCAAATAGGCGATCTGCTATCGGGTGGCGGACGGTCACAGGTCGATTTTTTCACACCAGCCTAGGGCCGTGGTTTTCCAGCCACTTAGGCCGCAAAGCGAGGAAGATTCTCACGAGATTCGACACATTCACATTTTTCGAGGCACGCTGTGTGAACGGGCCTTCCTCCCAAAGCCAAGCCATGTTGCGCCGTTTTCGTGCAGCGGTCAAGCGCACGTTCGTATCATCCTCAATGGCTGGGGAAACCATTT